AGAAATGTCTTCCCACTTGGCAGCCATCCTTGAATCCTTGCAGGCAGTTACTTTTTAAGTATTGTTTGTAATTCACAGGTTATAATCCAGGAGTATTAAAGTCCCTTCTTTTTATAATATAATGTGCCTGAATATAACCTTTGCATTATAAATGTCAATGAGTGGAACTGCTATGCGCTGTAAAATGTGTGAAACTAGAAACGGTGTAAAGGGGCGTATTCACGCCTCACTTTTTTTTTCTTTTTAACACCCAGTTTATTTTTGAAGTGAAAAGATTTCCTTATTTGTGCAGCCTCTTCACGGTGGACTTGGTACAGCTTGGTCAGAGAACTGTGCAAAAGCTACATATGCTTGGTTGTCTTTTCTGCAGGAGACACACAAGGGAGACTGCAACCATTTCGGCTTAAAATACACCCTACCACTTCACCCGCTCGAACATGAGTCGAGGAGTGGAAAACAGATTTAGTTCTCTTTTAAATGCGAAAATGTGGTAAAGTTCAACACAACTTTTACTACAGTAAAGTCTTTTATTTTTAGGACAATGGTGAGAACTGTAAGACACATCTCATGTAATGATTGAAATGCAGAAGAAAAAAGAAGCAATTAAAGAGCTGAAGTAACACTACAGGTTTGGCACTTGTTTATTTGAAAAAAAGATTACCATATATGCAGCTAATGAGGAAAGAAAATATAAGAAAGGAACACCAAGCAAAAGATGCTAAATCATAATTACAAAAGGGAATAGAAAAGACCGAAGCAAGGAAAAAAAACCCACACACTAGCAGTTCAACACAAAACTCTTCCCTTCATTCATCGCTCAAAATCAATAACAGGAAGTGATTTTAAACGGGGCATAAGCAGTGTGCACTACAGGACTATTTGTACTCTCCGCACACTCCAACAGTCTTGCCGTCCCACTCCGACGTGGAGAGACACTTGACGAAGAAATGTCCCAGATCGTGTTTAGAGATGGCTCTTCCCTTTAGCATGTTCTCTGTCACCACGTAATTCTCTGTCAGAGGAAGGTCACCTGGAGATGAGGGCAGAAGAAAACATTTAATGAATACAAGAGAATGTATGAATGCTCTCCTGATTTGCAGCAGTGACGCTGCACTCATTTTAGACCACGACCCACATACTGTCCCCTTCTATCTCAAATGGGCTTGAAGAGCAAAACCGCTAAGTAACAGCCAGATGAACAAACTTGAAAATCTTCCCTTCATTGAGTGTAAATGAGTACAAGTCCATTCTGAAGATATTTACTTTAACCATTGATTTAGAAAAGAGATTATGAGCAGTCTGAGATGTGTGTAGAAAATTAACTCCTTTCCTTAATTGTCTCACGTCGTTGTAGTAGGCAAGGCCACGATTAAAGACACCTTTTGTAAAACCCGTCTGCAAAATTTAGTACAAGAATTCACCACAAGAGGGCAGCATTTAACAAGAACGTTTTGGTATAATTGTGCTGCCAACCTAGTATTATATTTTTATGCACAGACAGATGAGTTATAAGTTTTAACATAAAGGTTAAAATTATATTGAACTATACCAGAAACTGTTTTTCTGGACTTTCTTTTTAGCTGCTTTCAATTTTTTCCAGATTGAATAAAGCTGAAAAATGGATCTTTGCAACAAAAATGTTTGGCTTCCTCTTGCTACCGACCTCCAATGTGAGGAGGCATGACAGCCACATAGTCCAGCCCTGATGTCTTCAGCACGGTGTACATCCTGTCGTGGTCCTCCGTCACAGGAACCAGACGTGGCGGCACTTTGGAGCGATCCCACAGAAGGAAGGCTGGGAAGAAAAGAGATGAGAAAAACGATTGATTGTACAGACTTTGATGAGCTCTTCTACTTCCTTTTTTTTAACGCAGCGAGGCATACCTGACATGCAGCCGATCACTTTGCGGATTCCAAGCGCCTTCATAGCTTCCACTATGTTCTTTGTGCCCTCAGACATCATGGTAGTTGGGCCTAATGAATACAAATTAGATTTGAGATATTACACAAAACACAAAACTGCAGAACAGCACTTGATTGTTGTTTTGCTTCATTCCTACAGAAGCTCCACTGGGTAAAAGTAAATCCAATGTTTCAGAGAGCACCATAAATATAAACTCAAATCTCTATTATGTGCTTTAGTGACTTAACTGATTATTTAAAAGATCAATTACGTGAGTTAATTGATCTTATAAGTTAATATTCATTTAAAATTTAAAAGAAATGTCTTGTTTTTGGTGGGAAATTTGGCTCTGGTTTTTATTTTTAAGTCAATTAAATGTTGTTTATGCAATTGTTTGGCTTGTCTGTTAGCAGGATTACTCAAAGGTCGTAGATAGATTTGCATGAAATTGTTCCCAGAGGTGGGTTTTGGTCCAGATTTGAAGTGATACAATATTTTGGCTTGATGCACATCTGCATCCAGGGATATTTGAAAGACTTCTTTGCCATTGTAAAATAGGAAATAGTAAAAAATTGAGAAACACTGTCTTGATGTTCTGAAGAAAATATCAAAAAGTAATGCAGAGCCAAACATCCCTCTGGATCCAAGGACTCAGTTCATGCATGTTGTGGAGGAAATGTTCAGCCCTGGAGGGGAGAGACTTCTCCAGTTTTTATAGAGTTAGTAGTTTCTATACAGTCCTTAATTTATTAAATTATTCAATAAGCTATGCATATGTTATTTAGTTTTATGCTATGATTCTCATTCATCTCTATACTGTGTCTTTTAGATTATGTCAAACCGACCCAATGTCACGTTTTACATGTAATAAGAATGCTTTGGTGACCTCTAGTGAGTGTTTTACGTTATTACATCACTGAAATATATAGTCGTTCTCCTAAAAGGTGAACATGTAAGGAAACTGAATTTTAAGATTCAGTGACTCCATGCAATTACAATTGCTATGAATACATGAAACCACATAAACTTAAATCCATGCAGTTCCATTGGTATTAGTTTAAGCATTGAAATAAGTCCTCTTGAGTTCAGGTAGGCTGGCGATATGATTGCAAGAGTGCATTTTGATTTAATGTCTTATTATATTTGCTTGTATGTGCGATTCTTCAGCCTTACTGAGGTCATTCCTGGTGCCTAAGATGATAATAACAGCATCCTGGCCCTCCAACGTCTTCTTTACATCCTCTTTCTTGAGCACATCTCCCACCACCACTCTGGATGCCTTGTGGTCATCAGGCAGCTTGGCGGGGTCACGCACCAGCACCGTCACATTGTATCCTAAAAAAAACCCATGGAAATAAAACTGAACTTCGACCATAAACACCTAATTATGAAACACTTTCACTTATAGCATACTGTGCTTTTTGTTTTGTATTGAAGTCATTGGTTTCTGTGCGTGTTGCAGGATCTTACAGTCATGGAAATGTGTTGTTTTTATCTAGTGGCTGCAATAAAGGAGCAGGGACTTGTCTTGGTGACGCAATGACAACAGATCATCTCACCTGGGTGCCAACCAGCACACTCAAGATGTCGCTTTCTCCTGTTTGGTTATTGTGCAGAAACTGCGAGGAGCAAACTGCTTCAGAAGCTTTTATTGCTTGTACTGTTTTTAATGTGTTCCTATGTAATTTTGTAGTTTTTTAGCAGTATTCTAGTCTTCCCTGTACTTTTAATTAAATTTGTTTAATTAGTGCTATACAAATGCAGGTTGACTGGTGACTCTGTGACAGCTTCAGGAGAGATCCCACCCTTTACTGTGGGGGCAAGATAGCGAACAGCTTTTTACTATCAGCTCTCTGTGTCACAAACTGCTGTGACTCAGCAAAACGCTGCCTGTGCCGTTAAACATGAGTCGACCTTTTTTTTGCCATGGGTGAGCAAAAGGAAAGGAAATGTTGCTAAATCGAATGAATCATATGACACAGTGTGTTTGTGTAAGGGATTCTGTGAGAGGAGCAGTGG